GCGCGGAGCGACGTGACGAGGTCGCGGACGGCTCCGAGGTGGGCAAAGTAGCGCGCGTAGGCGTGCTCGGAATCGGCGGTGGTGGGGTCGGGCGTGGTGCCGTCGGGGAGGGTGTGGAGCTCTTCGGGGAGGTAGGCGAGCTGGGTGCTGCAGATGGTGGCGACGGCACCGGCGAATTTGGGGCTGCAAGTGGGGTCAGCGAGATGCTCTTACTGGGACTTGCCCCAAGGCCCCCAACGAAACAGAACAAATTTACTCACCTTCCCTTGGTCACAGCCGCCAGAGACGATTTTGGTTCCCTGTGGATGATTTTCATGATGGCCTAAAACAGAACCCTTTAGCAAGCCTGCTTACGTAAAAAAACCCCCAAACCACTAAACTTACCACCATCTTCAAGTACTCAGCCTCCGCCGCCGCACGCGCCTCGGCCGAATCCTCTCCATGGTCATGGTCGCAGCACGTCCCATCCTCATGATGATGGTGGTGCGGCCCGCCATGTCCACCATGCGAGTGTCCATGAGAATGTCCGTGCCCATGTCCATGTCCATGTCCATGCGAGTGCCCATGCCCGTGGCTCCCATGGTCATGATCGCAACAAGTCCCGTCCTCATGGTGATGATGGTGCGGCCCCCCATGCCCATGCCCATGCCCATGATCATGAGCATGCTCCTCATGCGCCTTCTCCCCCACGCTCCCCGCAGCCCCACCCTTCCCCTTCTTCTTCTTCTTATTCCCGCCACCGCCTGCCTGCTGCTTCTCCTGCACATGCTCGTGGTCATGCGAGCACCCATCCGCACACGTCTCGGCCTGGCCGCCGTCGTGGCTTTCGGCCGCAGACGCCACCACCGTGTCGTCGGTGGCTGGGGTGGCCGAGGACCGCACCGACGCCGAGGACGGGGCGTAGCCGTCCGGGTAGGACCGGGCCATGGCTTCCTCCCGGATGCGGGAGGGGATGGGGTCGCTGCGCACGGGGTTGGAGGCGAACGACTCGACGATGGCGTGGACGGTACGGCGAGGGGAGGGTGGCTTGCCGAACGTGAGAGTGCGCTTGGGGCCGAAAAGGGCCGTGCATTTGGCTCTATGTGTTGGGAGGAAGGGTTGGTGATGGGAGGACCCTGGGGTCTGTTTCAACCTACCGGTACTCCTGCGACCTCGCAAAGGGCATCACCAGCGAGCACCCGAGCTCGGCAGCTACTTCCAAAGCCTTCAAAGTCCTGGCCTCGTCGGTCTTCATCCCCGCATCCACAATCACCGTCCCTGGACCCGCCAGCATCTTCACAAACTGCACCAGCTGGTCCTCCTTGTCCACATTGGGAAGCGGCTCCAGGACATCGTCTAGACATCAAAAAAACGTCGGTCAGCAACTTCCGGGTCGGGCTCTCCCGTCAAAAGCTCCAAAAGCGAACCTTTCTTCTTGTGTGAAATGACATACTCCAGGACGTTCTCCTAAAAAACCGGGCGGAACCCGCATGAGCTCTCTGACGAACTTTCGCCAACGTGGGGTACTGATGAGCCACAAGGGGCGCTTTCTCCAAAACCAAACTCACATAGATGCCGTCGCCTTCCTCCGTCGGAGATTTTTCCTGCAAAAAGCGAGACGTTAACGACGGTCGCTTTTGGGCTCCGGAGTGGCCGGGAAATAGAATGTCTCAGGATGGAATGCTCACCCAGAAGATACCGCCGTTGGAGTCGCAGATCAGCGCTACACCGAGGTACGCCTTCTTCTCCTTCTTGAGCAGCGGCCTTGTAGCGAGCAGCTCCTCGAGGATGGGCAGGCCCCTAACCTGTTCGGACGTAAGGTGTAAGCATCCACTTCAACTGAAGCATGTCCTTTGGTATCTAGCAGCATTGGACCGACCTTCTCGACGCCGAGGATGGCGACCGGGACCACCGTCGTTGCTGTGGTTGCGGCCATACACCAAGCGCAGAAAAGGCAATTGGTTTTTTTTTTTATTTTTTGTGTTCACACTTGGCGGGCGAAGACTCACACTGTGGCCGCCGGCATCGGCCTCTGCACCGACGGCTCCGCCGACGCCGCCAGCGGTGCCGCCGCATCCCCGTGCTGCCCATGCACCGTCACCACGACCTCCGGCATCTCCACCTCCGGCACCTCTGCCGCCGCCGGGTGCTTGGAACCGTCGTCCTTCTGCAGCGCCGCAACCAGTTCCTGCGCTAGCTCCTGACGCGCCACCTCCTCGGCCTCCTCCTTTAGCGCTTGCTGGTAGTCTTCGGCGTCGTCGAGGTAAAGCTCGTAGCGTGACTGCGTGATACCGAGGAAGTAGGCCACGGCTTCCCCAACGTATTCGACCGTTTCGAAAAGGCTCAGACCCAGGGACGCGGCGAGGGAGACGAGCGCCTTGATTCTGCTTTGGGGCTGGAGGGACAGGAGATTTGTAGAGTGGTGTTTTAGTGTTGGGAAACGGGAAGGAAAGTAAAATAATGAGGTTACCTGCTTGACAGCAATCAAGTGAGAAGAATCCTCGGTTTCCAGGGTCGCCTTTGGCTTCTCCGCAAAGGTGTTCTCAAACATGCCACCCGCAAAAGAAAGGTCCTTGCGATCCGCTGACACGAGAGGCTTCTCGTCGACCGGCACCTCCATATTCGGCTGCTGTGTGGGCCGCTGGCTTCGCGGAGTCGGGCGGAACTTGATGTTTTTGACGTAATCCGCCGTGATGCGATCAGGGAGAAAAGCCGGTGCACTTCCAGGCACATGAGCGTTCCCGTCGTCCTACAATTCGAATTCCATCAGGAACGAAGCGTACAAGAAAAAAAGGTGCCAGGCAACCCTACCAGCTGAATCCGCGGCAAAGCATCCCAGTCCTCCGCCTCGGCCGCAGGTCCCTCCTCGCAGGGCACAAAAGCATCTGCCTCGTCCTCAGCCCTGCCGAGATCGCGATCGGCGTCCGGCACGACAGCAGGCGGGGGCACTTCCTCGACACCGCCGAATGTCACAGACTTTGATCCTCGCTTGAGCCCCGGGGTGCGGTCGTCGGCGCTGCCTGTCACGGCGGCCATTTCCTCGAGCTTGGCGACGATGTCCGGGGGCAGCCTGCTGACCTGCGGTGCGTTATCGACGACCATTGTTAGCTAGAGGCCCTGATGCTGGAGTAGCGGTGGATGGTTCCGTCGGCGGGCGGTGGTTGCTCCGAGCTGAAGCTGCCTGCTGCGTTCAGGTCCCTTTGGAGCGACCACAGTGAGGGTAAAGGTCGGTTGTTTTGCTGCGTCGCAGAAACTTGTCAGATTCCTTCCAGTTTTCAACAAATCTGTTGCAGAAATAACGGGTGACACCGCCGTGACAAGGGCCGTCCCTCCCCCGCCAGCATCTAATCCCGTCCCTCGCATTCTTTCGCCTTGGAGCGAAAAAACGACGACGAACGATGGCGGCGATATCGACCATGGAGGAGTACTTTCGCAACAACGTCGAGAAGAAGCTGTTCATGTAAGCTGCCGTCGCTTGCGGGTGGTCCTGGTTGCGGGATATCTCTTGGGGCGGTGGAAGGACAACCCGCTCGCAACCAGACCGTTACCATGCATGTGAAATCAACACACCTAAACCCCATTTATCGTTTGCAGAAAGGTCCCCGAGCAGGAAGACCATGACCTGACGCCGGCCACTCGGCTGCTCGAGAAGCGGCGGGAGATGCTCGAGGTCGAGAACGGGCTCAACCAGCAAAAGGAGGAGTTTGCTATGAAGATGGAGTCGCTGTCGCAGAGGAGGGAGGAGCTGGCAAGGAAGGAGTCGCAGCTGAAGGAGTCGTTGATGAAGTTTGACAAGTTCCTGAAGGCAAGTTGCTTCGCTCGATGCTGTTGGCTTGTGAGCTGGAAAAAACTAACCTGAGTTTCGGTCCCCAACAGGAAAACGACGCAAAGCGGAGCCGAGCGCTAAAAAAAGTGCTGGAGGAACGAAGGACCAAGGAGCAAAAGGAGCAGGAAATCACCCAGCTCAAGGAAACCCAGTTCTGGATGCAGCAGAAACGCGACCGGGGCATGAAGGCCGTGGACATCAGTACGTGCCCTCCACCTCCTCACCTCTAACACTTGTCCAACCAGACCTTTCCTACCAAAAGTACCTCGAAGCAGTCTTGGAAAGCGTCGAGGAGTTTGGCGAGGTCAAGGACATCATCGCTCGTTTCGACACGCTGTCAGCGACGAACGCCGAGTTAATCGAGCGGGCGCGGGAGGCTCAGGAAAAAACGGAGCGCGACCGGCTGGCGTTCGTGACGGGCACCGAGGAGAAGAACAACATCATCCTTAACTACAACAACCAGATCGCCAAGCTGCAGACGCGGCTGGAGGAGACACAACTAAGGTCGGGAAGATGGCAGTCCGAGTGGGATCAGACGTTGAAAAATGCAACGTCAAAGTCGCTCCTCATCGGCCAGATCAAAATGTACGGATCGTTGTGACGAAGAGTTTGTTGACTGACGTGATTCAGGGCGACAAATAACCTGTTCAACCTTGTCAAGGCGCATCTGAATAACCGGTTACCCAATACGACGGATACGCTCACGCAGCTGGATAAAATTCAGCAGTTCATCATTGGTATATTTCAAAGTCCTTTGTGGTTTTCTAACGGGATCCATGTCCCTTTATTTGGCAGATCTGAACGCCATCACACAGGACCTGAACGCTTCCACCTCCACAACCGCAAACAGCAACGCCAACACATCCTCAAATTCCGGGGCATTGCTTTCGGGAGGAGGTATTTCTGGCGCCATGTCCAAGTAATTTTCAACCATGTCCTCCACCCCGCCTATGAATCCCAAATCCCCTTCCATCCGCCTCTCTTTTTTCACTCCCTTTGAATCCCTGACCGTTGTGGCTCCTCGAGGCCTCTTTTCATCGCCCGTGTACCGTGTATTTACTCTCATTACGCAAATAAAGACGACCTTGGCCAACGAACGAAGGTGCTTGTGAACCCTGATGGCCAGAAATTTCATCAAAAATTAGCACGAATATAATTTTTAATTAATGTAATGAAAACATCAAATAGCAGCTAAGCACAGATGGTCGAGCGGTCTAAGACGTGTGACTCAAGTTCACATCTCGCAAGAGGCGTGGGTTCAAATCCCACTCTGTGCACTTTTCTTTTTGCTTCTTTCTGGTCGACTTGATTTTTTTTTTTGCTGTGCGTGGGGAGGCAGCGTCTTCTTACTCTCCTCATCGTTCTCATGCTAGCGGACTGGGTGCACTTTCGTTTTGCCTCTCTGCAGTCCGTTGTTGCCTCTTTGTTTGCTGTTCGTGGGGAGGCTGCGCCTTCGCTAACTTTTTACAACAAGACGAATTGGGTTGCCGCCGATGCTCCAAGACCGAGTATCTTTTTCTTTGGCAATGGGTCTACGACTGAAGAACAATGAACACTACAACTATGCATCGTTGACGGTCAAAGTAATCTG